TTCACATTGAGGTCTTCCATGGCAGCAGGTTAAATGTGAAAATATTGTAAAGGTTTATTTGTTTGTATTTTCTTCAGAGGCCCTATATGACACTGGGTTCCCTTAGAGATCAGGTGATTTATCCTGACACACATGAAGACCAAAAGAAGGAAGGAACATCCGATCGGGTGAGTTTCTATAACACAGAGTTTTATGTGTTATAAAGGGATGGTTCACTAAAAAATGAAAATTCTGTCATTGTTTACCCATAAGACCTATGTTCATCAAAACACGAATGAAGATATCTTTAATAAAACTGAAGGGATTTAGGTTCCTTCACTGAAGGTCCATTCCACAAAAACTTCACTTAAAGGGTTAGTTCACCCAAAAATGAAAATTAGCCCACAAATTACTCACCCTCAAGTCATCCTAGATCTATATGACTTTCTTCTTTCAGACGAGTCCAGTCGGAGTTATATTAAAAATTGTCTTCGATCTTTCAAGCTGTTGAATGCCACTCAGCGGGTGTTGCATGCATCAGTCCAAAAGGAGTTAAATAAAAAGCGCCCATCCATAAAAAAAAAGTGTCTCACATGGCTCCGGGGGCTGAACGATGCGTTTTTGTAAGAAAAAATATCCATATTCAAAACGTAATAATCACTTTAATGTAGCTTGCGCCAACAGTCCTACACTGAAGCAGCTCCGGGCGGATGACGTATGAGTTCAGCGTTGCGCATGTGATGCATATGTGGATCTTCTGGCCCAGTGGCATCCAGTATGAATGAAACAGACATCACATGTGTTCATAGCGCTAAATAATGGCCAGTCCATAAAAATAATACTTTTCTCAAAATAAATTGGAAGTAGACGTCATAATCCATGTTTGTCTACAGGGTACAGAAGTGTACTGGAGTTTTTTTTTTAATGGCATTTTAAATCTCAAATCGCAAATAAATACTCTGCCAATACTGTGCCAAGCCATCAGAACCGAACCAAAAACCGTGGTTAATGGTGTGTGTGACTGAGTGCAGGCCTGCTAACCTTCAGAAAATATTTAATATTAAATCTTGCATTTTGCACATTGTGCAATTACAATTTTGACATTAGCCATAATATATGAACCCCCACCCCACCCCACCCAAACCCTGTGCCCCGTCCCAACTCGCTGATGGTACTCAAACAAATATTCCAAGGTTGGCAGGTCTGCTTCAGAAAGTTCATGAAGAGATAATAAAAGAAATTGAACGGTTTAATCCAAGTCTTTTGAAGAGACATGATCACTTTATATGAAGACCAGATTTATTTTAGGCTTATATTCACATATAAACATTGATCCACATACATTGAAAAAAGGAAGCTCAACCTTACTTGCTTGATGCAGAAGAACGATATTTGTGCTCTATGTGTGTTATTCAATTGTTTATATGTCAATAAAAGCCTAAATGAAATCTGTTCATCATATAAAGTTTGATTCATATAGATTACTTTTACAATCTCTTGACCTTTTTTGTAGCATCAAAGTTTTGTTTACCTTTAAGTGCAGAGAAAGAAATCTGTCAGGTTTGGAACAAGCCATTCCTTTAGAAAAATAATGCACTGAAAACTGAAAATTCTGTCCTTATATATTAATTTACATGTTGCGTGAAGCTCCAAAAAGGGAAAAAAGCAGCATCAGATTTGTCCATATGATATGTGTGCTATATTCCAAGTCTGGAACGTTATCATATGCAAAAATCATTATTTTAATTATAATCATTATCTGGTGATAATGGCATAAAGACTCTTTTTTTTTTTTCTTTTTCTTTTTTGAATGACATGAAAATGAATAAATATTGAGAATTTTTTGGTGAACTGTCCCTTTAATAAATGTGCTTATGGTGTTGTTATTATATATTGTGTACTTGTGGTCAGGTGCTGAAGGAATATCTGGACAATGTCCAGCTGGGACATATCCTTGAGAGAGAGGGCAGCTGGGACATTGTGCAGGACTGGATGGATGTCCTCAGTGGAGGAGAGAAGCAGAGGATGGCTGTAAGCTCTGATCCTTGCATTTTTAAATCATTCTCTCTTTAGCGTGAAACAGATATTAATGTGGCCTATATAAGATCAGAAGTTCCAAATTCCCATATTATTTCATATCTCTTGAATTGCACAGATGGCTCGTCTGTTTTACCACAAGCCGCAGTTTGCTATTCTGGATGAGTGCACCAGTGCTGTGAGCGTGGATGTGGAGGACTTCATCTACAGCCACTGTCGAAAGGTAGTCAGATCTTCTTAAAGGGGTCATATGATGTTGCTAAAAAGAACATTATTTGGTGTAATGAAATGTGTTTATGCGGTTTAAGGTTCAAAAAACACATTATTTTCCACATAATGTTCATTATTGTCCACATAATGTACATTATTGTTTCTCCTCTATGCCCCGCCTTTCTGAAACGGTCGATTTTTACAAATCTCATCGGTCTGAAAAGCGAGGTGTGCTCTGATTGGCCAGCTCTCCACTGCGTTCTGATTGGCTGAATACCTCAAGCGTGTGATGGAAATGTTACGCCCCTCACCATACTGTGTTTCCATGTGTCCCAGAGCGACGAGACAAAACCAATAAAACCCATTATAAACGAGGCATTTGTTGCATCCAGTGGGTACATAATTACTGATTATAATGACTTATACTGTGTTTTTACGCTTTGCGTTGCGTATTGCGCCGCGCAAACATAAAACCATGTCTGCATTTGTGATCGGGGAAATGACAAACAACAAGCACTACTCTACACTGCTCAAACTCGCGTTTGAATCATCAGTGGCAAATTTTTTACATATAAAAAACGTACTTACAGTCTGTGAGTCAGAAGCGCCAGACTGTCCTTGCAAAGTTGGAACTGCCCCACTTTATAGAAACATTATGTCTAAGTAAGTAGTTTCGCTTTCACAACGAAACACACAGCAGCTTGATTGAGCGGCGCCCGGCTGATTCGACGAAGGAGGCTTGCGGCAACAACATGTGATGACCCCGGGCTGGACTCCGCTTCGTCCATGGTGAAAGCCGATCCGGCAATACACAGTGCGAAGTTGATGTATTTCCTCAGCGACCAGCACGGATCAGCTCTAGGCATGACGAAGCGGATATCGTCCTCTTTTGGAAGGCCAAACAAAGTAGTTTCGCTTTCACAATGAAACACACAGCATCTCCACAACATGGCGGCGGCGGCAACAATACTACAGCGATAATAAAAGTTACGCCTTCTTTCTTTGCGTGAACATTTGAGCGGCGTTATGCAAAATCTTCCCACACAGTGACGTAGACATATAATGTTTAATATTATATTTAACGCATGTTTAAACAAGGCGTTTTAGGAGGGCGTGGACAAGTCTTAACTTTGATAAAGAATATCTCTTTGGATTTGAGACTTTAGTCTTTGCAACTTCACAGATCTTCTTTATGCACCACGAGCTTGTAACACTCCAAAGAGAAAGGAAAAATTTGACCTATGACCTCTTTAAACCCAATGAGTGCAAAAATGTTTGTGTGAGAGAAGAACAAATGCTCATGACATTAAGATGAGAAGTTACAACAGGTGCTCACCCCACCATGCTCGTTTTCTGTCAAAAGTGAGATGTTAGGAATGTATTTGTTGCTCCTGTGGGAGTTTGCTTTAGAAACATCTGTCTCCCTGAGCTCAGCTGGAATCATCTGTTTCCTCCTTTCAGGTTGGAATCACACTGTTCACAGTCTCCCACAGGAAATCACTATGGAAGCACCACGAGGTACAACTTTGCCCTTGTATTTCATCATACAGTTGGCAGAATTCATTAGAAAACCTCAAGTGCTATGAATTTAAAACTTGTTGTTTCTCTACACTACAGTATTACTTGCACATGGATGGAAGAGGAAACTATGAGTTTAAACCCATCACGAAGGAAACAGTGGAGTTCGGATCATAATAATGACACTGGGCCTAAATGTGGATCTGAAGCAATATCATTCTGTACCTAATGAAATCGTAACTCTTTCTAGAAGTCGTTGAGAAAAACAGCTTTTCTTCATCTGAGGGAAAGGATTGTAGCTGTGGATAAATATCTCTCAGGGAGAGGTTACTGTGCATTATCTGAAAAGATTGTTGTAAGGAAAGAAAATGGGTTTGATACCCCTTTTAACAATCAAGCAATTGTAATATAAAAGTCATGATTTTTGTTGTGATTCTTGATTTGTGTTTTGAAACTGGAACGGTCACTGGCATGTGTGATCACGGAGTTGTCAATATCATACTGTTGCATGCCACTGGTACAGTACTGATAATATGGAAACTGCATTAGTGTAATGAGCTGTCTGTATGAATTTTATTTTATGGGAAATTTATTTTAACAGATAATGCAGCCTAATAATATATGTTTGAAAATCTATTGGATACATTGTGCCTTACAGACCTGTTTTACTCATTTTACTGAATGACACAACATGAAATTGTCGTGTGGTAAGCTTTGATTAATATCTTTTTTTTTTTTACTCTAGTTATTTTAATTTTACACGGTTTTTTTTTTTCTTTCTTTCATAGCTTTGGAAAGCTTCTGTTTTGACAAATGCACAATTTTTTTGCATTTTAGTTTATGTTTCAAGGTTTGAGCAGAAAAAGACAAGACTTTCACATCTTTACTGTAGCTTACCACAAGGGTGAGCTACTGAGAGGAGAATGCAACACTTATTCTTCTCCAGTGAGTGTCGCTCTGTTCCTTTTAATTCAGATTGTGTTGCACAATCTGAACATGCTTTCCTCTGCCATGGGTTTTTTTTGTTTAAAACTGGAAGAAAAGGAGGAATTACTGCATCAGAGCAGTTCTTCCTCGGTTTTTGATCGTGCACGTCCTTTTACACAAGTCATTACAAAGCACAAGTCAATGATAGCACTAAGTGCTGAAGTTTAGTTTTGGTACCTCTTTAAAAAAAAAAAATCATGACTTTGAATCATGAATAATTTATTTGCTCCATCTAGTGAAGTTCCTAGGAGTACAACTTACATTTAAAAAAATATATACACACACTTTGAGCATTAAATATTTTCTACAAGATATAAAACTATACACAAAGCAGCTAATAAACCTGTATTTCTGAAGAAAATAATAAATAATGCCACTAAACAAATACAGTTCTATTCATCCATAAAAAATAAAAAGCAAAAGGTCCGATATGTACAACATATCATGTAGTGTTAGTGTTTCATAGAAACCAGTCCAGTGCTGTACTGCAGAAGATGTGCTACACACACACACACACACACACACACACACAGTCCTGCTCAGTGCAAAAACAGTTACAGTCCAGCTGTACGTCTCGTTCCCAGCTCAAGCAGCAGAAATGTTGTATTCCTTTATACCAGAGTCTAGACTATGGTTTCCTTGGCCGTCGGTGTTTGTCTTTGTTTACAGCAAACCACGATCAGAACGATTACAGCAATTACAAAAGCCAGTATAATGAGCGCTGCTCCTCCAATCACAGCCAGTCCATACTCTATGGAGAAGGTAGAGGAAATTTAAAGGATCATTCTTTTACAAAACAGTCATAATTCAAATGCATTCTACTTAAGTGGAAAGCTTAGTTTGGCCAATTAATAAATAAATGTATTTAATAAATTAACAATAAAAGCGTCATTGACCCTGATATTATAAAATTGAGTTTGGAAACCTTGAATAACCATTCAACACAAGTTTCAATTTATTAACTCTTTAAATGGTTTTCAAAACAGCACCTAGCTTTTTAATAATAAATTAATAGATTATATAATAGAAATTGGTGCTTCAATATTGCATGTCTGAAAACTCCCAAGTGCAGAAAGAGAGGTTCCCACACAACTGAATGGAGTCATTTTAGCACAGCTGTCGGCCCCTGGTCAGTGTGTGTGAGTAATGGCAGTGCGTGTCATCCTCCCTTCTCTACTCTGCTAGCTGACCCTGATCCGGCCTCTTCATGCTTAACAACCTTCCAGTTTTCCATAACACTGCAATTCTAGACAGCTAAACCTTTGAGCAAAAGTTGAATCATTTGGAATACTTGGATACTCCTTTGACGCCTTCCTCGGTCTCTAAAATGGGTGTAACACCCTAGTAAATATGAAAAGTAAATGTCAAAAGTAAACTGTCAAGTATTAGACAATAAACTTACCCTCAAACAGCGTCTTGTGCTCCTGTGGGGAGCATTTGGGGAGGCTCCACTCTCCGACCCTCTTGTCTCCTTTACGGGAGGGGATGTATGCTGCCACGCTGAAGCAGTAACTCTGATCCTCATCTAGATTATTAAACTCTGCTTTGCTCTCATCCACAATTAGCATTTTCTGAAAACAGCCCAACCAACAAACATGTAATGATTATGATTCAGAGGGCATTTAATAATAAAAAAAAAATGCATGGCATGTAATCTTGAAAAGCATCTATAGCTAGTAAAAGTGCTGAAACCCACTTTTCCTGTGCTTCCAGCCTTGATGTATGCAATCTTATACTTGAGATTTTTCTTAAAGACGTCACGGATGTTCAGAGATCTGCCATCTTTGTGCAGAGCAGTGATGGGGTCGTGTATGATCAGCACAGTCTTGTTCTCATTCACCTTCAACTTAAACTCAGGGCTTCCAATTAAAGCTACAGGAAAAAGATTTTTAAAAATATTAAAGCAACTGCTTTAAATCAAAATTGGTTGAATTTCGAAGGAGGAAGTAATACTTTTGAAGTCTAATATACAAGTTGAGTATGCAGGGTTGGACACTCACTGTCGTTATAAGGACAGAACTTCTTTGATCTGGTGAATGGAGGCTCCACATAGTCAGAAGTCCCATGCAGAGACTCCGACAGGACATCAGCAGAATAAACCCCCTTTACGTCCAGTTCATTAGTCAGGTCACACTCGGTCTCAGTGCTTCTAATGCAGTGAGGGTTTCTCAGTTTGTCCTTACCAACTCTGCAGAGAAAAATCATGTTGGTTAGAATAGTCCTTTAGAGTTTCAAACGATACATATTTGTTGAACTTTAAAATCACAAAATATTGCTAATATGAACCATACAGAGCAAGATCACAGCTATGCAGTTTAAATTAGATATTTGTGTACTTGCCTTGAGAATTCAACTGTATATGTGTAGCTGACCGGTTTAGGTCCCCATGATAGGATTGTTTTGAAATTGTAAGAGGACCACGAGACATTTGTTGCTTTGGTAAGCTTGCCCACTTCCAATGATTCTAAAGGGGACAGAGACATCAGTCACATCAATACAGTATGAAGCACATCATGTAGCTTTCATGGTTTCCATTACAACTCAACCTTTAAATACAACAAAACTAACGTTACACCCAAAGTTCACATTGCTATAATGCACGGTGCCATGCCACACTGTACTGTACAGTACAATAGTATACTATACACTACAATACTATGAGTAAACAGTTAATATTTGGATTAGACTAAGGTTTAAAAAAAAATTCTTAATATTTTACCTGGGGATCCGTTTACGAACGTAAGCCAAACAAGAAAAAGTGCCGAAAACATTACAGTCTTGCTGTCCATCGTTTGTGATAGCAGTCCAATTTAGGCGTAAAAGATTTAGTCCAACGTCTTCCTCTGAGGAGCGTTTGGCAATTATATCTTCCAGCCGCTGCCTGTATTTATAGTGTGTGCGAGAGCTCTCGCGCTACCCGCCACGGGGAGACTCGTCATGAGACATGTATGGCGCTCCGCCCCTTTCTTAACTTTGGGGTTTTATCACTGACTGGGCATCCATCGTAGCGCGCACCTTATGACCATATATGGTTATCCGGGTACCGGTTTAATGCAGATAATCTGCAAATCCAAGCACGTACTTGACAAGTGCGAAAAGACTCTTGCCTGTAGTGTTTCCTCTGTCATCATGTTAGTTTGTCATTAAACATTTCATTTGTTGTTTTAACTGCTTTAGACTGTGCTGTGCAGGTGACTTAAGAGTCGACATTCATTCATTCAATTTAGTTGTATTTAACTTGGCTATCAATCACCCAAACTCTGACATGGGATATTTATTTGCAATTTAATGTTTTATCAGTTGTAATAACTGAAGTTTATTTTTCTGTATTTATATTATCTATATGCAAAGAATCATCATTTGCCATTCTAAATTTCCATAGGTTTTCTTAAAAAAAGCTTTTCCTTCAGTCAGATGTTCCACTCGTGTGTGCTATCTTGTGGGGAAGATTCACTCTAAAGTAACTGTGGCAAAGAACATCATACCAGCTGAGGATGATTTGTGTAACCACAGTTCATGTGCCTCTCTGACTTGAGTTCATTATGAGCAAACACATTCATAATGTTGGTTCATATGCCTATGGAAAAAAAAAAACAGAGGCACTTCTTCTAGCTAACCCCTACAAATATTTGTTTTTGTGTCAAGCCCGTCACTTGAATTTACAAGACTTGGACAAAATATTTAAAGGTGACCCCTTTCTTCCTTTATAAGAGGCCTTGTCGGACCACCCAAATGCCAGGAAAACGATCTTGTCTGTACTTAAAGGGATAGTTCACCCAAAAATGAAAATTTGATGTTTATCTGCTTGCCCCCAGGGCATCCAAGATGTAGGTGACTTTGTTTCTTCAGTAGAACACAAATGATGATTTTTAACTCCAGCCGTTGCAGTCTATCAGTCGTATAATGCATGGCAATGGTAACAAAATCTATGAGAGTAAAAAAAAACATGCACAGACAAATCCAAATTAAACCCTACGGCTCGTGACGACACATTGACGTCCTAAGACACGAAACCGAACAGTATTTCTATAATGTTTTACCTCTAATACACCACTCTGTCCAACTGTCTTTGGGCGCGCGCACGGCATCCGGTGCGTGAGGTGTGTACGCGCTCTGGCATAGTTTACGCAAGCGCCGGAAGTGATCTCTCGCACGTATACGTCACTCATTGTTTACACAGTGCACATTGTAGGTACGACGGCTAATCAAAATGGTACTTACTTGCGCTTATCCGGATTGTTCAAACCGACTTAAAACTAAAAGATTACGTTCTCTCGCGCAAACTCATTCGGGAGTGGTGACTTTCCACATATTCCCAACTTCTGAGCTTGCTCGCCTGAAGTTATGGTTGATTGCTCTTCGGCTGGATATCAACACACCCATTAACGTAAACTACGTCAGAGCGCGTACACACCTCACGCACCGGATGCTGTGCACGCGCACAAAGACAGTTGGACATTGTGGTGTATTAGAGGTAAAAAATGATATAAATACTGTTCGGTTTCTGGCACAAACCGATCGTTTCATGTCTTAGGACATCAATGTGTCGTCACGAGCCGCAGGGTTTAATTTGGATTTGTCAGTGCATGTTTTTTTTACTCTCATAGATTTTGTTACCATTGCCATGCATTATACGACTGATAGACTGGAGTACGGCTGGAGTTAAAAATCATCATATGTGTTCTGCTGAAGAAACAAAGTCACCAACATCTTGGATGTCCTGGGGGTAAGCAGATAAACATAACATTTTCATTTTTGGGTGAACTATCCCTTTAACTGTTCAAAATCCAAAATAGGTATTAGGTGAATCATCTTTTCAAAACATTTCCTTTTTAAGATCAGGTAAGGAGATAAAAATGGCAAAGTTGGCTGTGATTTGATAGAAATACTTGATGGTGGATAATTAGTCAGATTTAAAACATTTAGCATATATCAAGTTAATTTAGATCATGTGTTCTGTGAAGGAAAGATTAACAAACAGTCCATTGTGATCCTTCAGAGGAAATAGATGGTGAATGACATCAATTTTGGCTTCAGCAAAGAGCTTTATGAACCTGTGCTTCTTAATAGCAGGCTTTATGCCTAAAATAAGAAAAGGCTGCTATTGTCTAATGGTCTCTGCTGTCATACATTCTCACATGTGCCAAATAAAGTTTTCCATTCAAAGTGCACCTTCGTCATTTAGAGCTAGCAGTGAGTTTATCTTTGTAGCCTCCTAATAATCAGAATAAAATGTTCTGTTGGTTCATTTATGGCATTTTTACTGGTTATTATACAAAGATAAACTCACTGCTAGCTCAAAATGACGAAGGATTAATTAGTTTATATTAAAAGTTTACATCCGGTGACCTAAATTTAAATGTTTAGAGTAGTTGCACCTAAAATAAGAAAAGGCTGCTATTGTCTAATGGTCTCTGCTGTCATACATTCTCACATGTGCCAAATAAAGTTTTCCATTCAAAGTGCACCTTCGTCATTTAGAGCTAGCAGTGAGTTTATCTTTGTAGCCTCCTAATAATCAGAATAAAATGTTCTGTTGGTGCCAATATGGCATTTTTACTGGTTATTATACTCTGCGATTATTCATTTAGTTGATTAGGCTCTGATTATTAGGATGCTACAAAGATAAACTCACTGCTAGCTCAAAATGACGAAGGATTAATTAGTTTATATTAAAAGTTTACATCCGGTGACCTAAATTTAAATGTTTAGAGTAGTTGCAATGTCACTTTGTTTATTTATAAGTGGTAAACATCTGAAATACTTCAAACTTTGAGTAATATTGGAATTTGCTTCATTTGACTTTAATTCAAGTTAAAGTGGAAGTCCAGTCATTCCTAAAGTGTGACATAGTATGAGATTGAGGCAACTTAAAGTTGACAGTCACTCACAAGCAAGACATTGGACAGACATGGCATAGCATAAAAGCGTGACATAATGCCATACTTTGAGATGATAAAATGTCTATAAATTTGATTTGAGGCTGAACATGACAGGACATCGGAGGACTTAATAATTGTGGTGAACTGAAAAGTCATGAAATGTAACCATTTTTTTTTTATTATTCAAACATCAGTTAATAATAATAATGTACTACATATATATATATATATATATATATATATATATATATATATATATATAGCCTACATACATACAGTCGTGGTCAGAATTATTGGCACCCTTGGTAAATATGATCAAAGAAGGCTGTGAAAATAAATCTGCATTGTTAATCATTTTGATCTTTTATTTTAAAAAATTCACAAATATCTAACCTTTCATTGGACTAAAACAATTGAAAATGGGGGAAAATCTCATTATGAAATAAATGTTTTTCCCAAACACACGTTGGACACAATTATTGGTACCCCTAGAAATTCTTATGAGTACAATATCTGTGAAGTATATTCCCATTCATATTTACAATTTTGAGCATACCAGGGTGATTATGAACATGAAATTATCCAGCCATGGCTTCCTGTTTCACAGGAATATAAATAGGAGGGAAAACAAAGCCCAAATTCCCTTAATCATTCATCACAATGAGAAAAGCCAAATCATATATTTCTGATGTGCAGCAAAAGATAATTGAGCTTCACAAATTAGAA